GTGAGAAAATTTGAAAATCCAAGTATGTATTTTCGCCTTTGGGCCTGGGAACGAGGTTGTGTTATCCTGTCATGCATGTGTCTATTCAGGAGCCCATTACTAGGAGCGTTCCTCTTCTTCATCAGCTCTTGGAATGGCATTTACCCCTCTTGGTGCTATTTTTAGAATTGGTCATTATAAATTCAGCGCAAAACAGCCAATCAGAAAGCGTCTTGAACAATAGGTTTCTGAATGATCGACGGCCCGGCCATCGGCAGTTCCGAGGAGRAAGATGTTAGTACTTGACTATTCAAAATTCATTTTCASGGTGTTTAAAGTTAACTTTTAGTAGAAATATGTCGCAAAAAAGGAAATCAGAATCACCTTTCGCTTCATATTTAGCCAATGAGGAAGTCAGTGATTGAAAACAGGTGTAATTAACCTTGGAAATACAGGRGRAAAAACAAMCTGARCACGGATCGATTATGAACTTTTCATTGGGCAGCCGAAGACCAACAAARTTCATTGRACAGCAAAAGCAAAACAAATCGACTCAAGACATTTATTTTAGACATTTGAATATAATAGTTAATGGTGCCATTGAATCTTTGTTACAAAATAGTTTTTGTAAAAGCGAAATTAATTTCTTCACTTGTACAAATATAAAAATTCAATCTAAAAACACCTGACGGCGKATCTTCACAACAACTCGGCATCTCTCAACAAGCGCGCGGGGAATGCCGGGAAAATCTAAAAATAGCACCAAGAGGGGTAAATGCCGTTTCACAAGGCTCCTAGTAATGGGCTCCTGCATGGTTTATTGTAATTATCGATGTTATGAGACGAGGAACTTGGTAAACGATTGTCATTGTATAAACGAAGTTTAGGACGGAAAATGGGTGAGGACTAAATTTGAACTCGTCCCAGAATGTAATATAATTTCTTACCCAGATTTATGGACAAACTTGATCCAGTTTTTTTCAGTTTTGACGGGTGAAAATCGTATACAAGTGTGWTTTTCGATTTCAGCCATGGCACTTGTTATCACACTGTTGTAGTTGTTTGCTGCAAAACAAGAAAAAGAATATTGAATATTGAAGAATATTGCTTTGAAATAGAATAAATTTGGACACATTCCGCACTGAGATAAATTATGTTTCTTGCATTACTAATGACAAAAAAATACGGCTTTTTATAGTAAATACTCACGAATTTTAGTATCAATCTCGTATGGAACTCTTTTAGCTTTCCAAAGGGAAAGCCTGTTACGTCGAGCATTTCGTTTTGATGGAATATCTGTCTCTGAGAGCGGTCCGTCTACATCCCCAGTTGTGCTCTGATCCACTTTGTCCTTTGAAGTCAATACAATGTCTCCTTCAAACATTTTGTGAGTAGTTTCTATAAAGGGAATTGTAGTCAATAAATAACGGGAATATTCGATGACAAATAGCTGCTAGACATTCAAATAAATGGTATTATGGGCGGTGTCATCTTATAATTATTGACATGTTTATACCAACATGAAAAAGACTGGCTTTTCTCTTTTTGCCTCTGTTATGCGTTTATTTGTTTCGTATAATAATTCAGTTTTCTTACTTTGATTGGCATCAGTGATTTGTTCTGTTATGTCTTTATCTTGTCCTCTCTTCTCTCGACCATCTGCCGGAGGAACTCAAATGTTTGCTTCTGAACTGGKCTTTTGTATTAATTGTTCACCACACACGTGGTATGTGTGGGAAGGGGGAGGGAGAAATGAGTGACCAAGAGCAGAAAAGTTAGTTATGTCCCCACCACACCCCCCCCCCCCCCCCCCCCACCCACACACCTACCATAACTGGAAGCTGTGGCATTCTCTTTCAGGCGAATAGTGGTGTATGTGAGTGAGATTTAAAAAAAGAGTAAAAGTGTTACCGCACAACTTGAACGCCTATAGGAATCTTGACCGACATATTGACTATAGGTCCGTATTGATATCTCTATTTATGAGTATTTTGTTTTTAGAAATGTTATATAGGATGGACTGAGAGCTTCAGGCAGTACATTTTTTCGAGTTAAAGTGAGTCAGACAGGAAACTTTAAGTATTTTTAAAAGTAGAATAATTTCTCGATAAGAAAACTAAAATAAAGGTTTTAAGTAGGATTTTTTAAAGTTTTAGTATATATGTTGTTGTAGGAGAATATGAAGCGATTTTAAGTGATTCTATGCACCGGAGTCGCCGTAACTGACTTCAGTGAGACTGGCTGAAATTCTGAGAATGGTCGACAGGCGCAGTCGCAAGGCAATGTGAAAATATTGGAATACGGGAATTTTGGAATACGGGGTTTGCTTCAACTTCAGAAAATACAAATTGTTAGGGCTATGGTGATTACAACATTTTATCATGCTAAGCCCTTTGCGCAAGAGAATCTGCTGCCATATAAAACTTTCAATTCGAAAATGGAGTATTATAGGACAGATTATTTTGMAAAGCGCATTTGAAAACTGTTTTGATAAAAAAGGAATTATACGAAAAAACACCAATTCCATATAGAAAAAGATAAAAATACAAAMCATTACCGTCATCTCCATTCAAAGGGGCACAATATACCAAGCTTAAGCCCAAACAGCARACTAAAATGMGGGAAAGATTTGACTTTTGCATTTTACCTCCGGCTAGTGGTACCTCGCAGTACCGAATGAACAGATATTAGCCTGTATTACTTTTTTCTATGCTTTCCTATATAAAAAGTATTCATTTCAAGTCGTCATTTTCATCGCAGAGTATTCAAACGACCGAGAATTAAAAAAAAGCACTAATCCTCTCTTAATCCGATAGTTAATCGCAGAGTTTCAAAATGAAATGTTCAAACTACTGAACGCGCTCATTTGTTTTCTGCGCTTGAGGTAAAGTTATTCTWTTTTAGTTATTTTTTATAGGACACTTTTCAAGAGCACATAAAGATTGAATGCTTCAGTTCCAAAAAACACGGCTAATGGTGTTTTCTTTAAAGATTATGATCAAGGCAATATATATATAATATTTTAGCCGATTATCGTCTGAAACTTGGTAAATAATTAAACTTTAGGCACTTTCCGCAGTGGAGGTAACGGGTTTTCTTTTTCACTAAACGTCTCGATTTTGAATGGCTATATAGGTTGCTTGTGAAATGCCTTTTAGCAAAATATACTTCGCGTTGTCTGTTTGCACGCTTCTTTTTAAAGATACTTTTTTWAAACCTCTCATGCTATTAAATTCATGGCGATTTAACTCACGGGTCCGCTGGATAATGGATCAGAGAGCCTTCTCTTTATCTCTATAGCTTTCATTTGCTATATATTACATGTATTTAGTAACTCTTGTAGGTWAATCAATTATTCGTATTCGCTGAATGATTTTGCTGATTCGTATCGATCATGCCCCTAGATATATATTTGAGTAAAGGACTAACTATAGATTTATATTTGGATAAAGGATTTGGATGCGCAAAGAAATAAATGTGTGCTGGAAGAAAGTTTGCGTCGACCACCGTGATAAGAAAAACTAAATAAAACTAAACGATGAACATGATTGCATGAATCATATTTGAGACGTCAAGATTTCGGTCTACGGGTGTGTGTAGGTGAGCATGCCTCATCATCTCGCAGTTTATCGGTAAATGAAGTCGGTTGCTTCCCACTACCGAATATGATTCATTGATAAAGCCAAATCGAAATTTAGATTTTAAGTCCGAGAGACAGAATAACTGAGTCGACAATATATATAGTTACTTCTATCACTTTCGTTTTTAATAACTCCGAGGTTTGAAATTATTTAACAAAAAGTCAGTTAAATTGTTTCACACTAATAGAACATCAATATCTTCACTGACTGAAAACAGAAAACAGGAGGAGCCGACGGGATCTGTTCTTTTAAATAACTGTTCTTGTATACAAATGTTTTCCTGGGAAGGGGATTTTGAGCTACACTTGTTGACAATCTTACAAGCAAATGTTGCGACCTTCCTCCTTGTATAGTAGTATAGAATAATTTTGTTCCTGGCAAAAACAAGGCTTATATACAACGTTTTTTTTTTGGTCAAAAACGGCTTATTTTTTCAGTGTTAGGATATTTTTAGAAAGTATTCCTGGCCTTTTTTGCTAAATTTCTCGCTGGCAACCAGTTGTGACTTATRGCTGGCTGGGACATAAGAACAGATATTTCTCCCAGGAACCCGTCGGCTCCTCCTAAAAGAATTTTGGTAACAAGCTTATGAAAAATATCAAAATGTAAAGTTTTAGAGAAACAGTAATGATTTACGTCATGTTTTGTGACATGCTACATGCATATGCGAGATATATCTTGAAATACAATCACACAATAATCGCGCTTTTTTTCCCTCTATACTGAAACGATGTTTCAAAGGTTAATGATTATTAAATTTAAGATATCAGTCTTTGTACTCTTTCTTGCCATATGCTTATGGATTCGGTAATAACAAAAATAAAAAAGTGTTATAATGCAAAATGCCATTTTTCACGTCGATGAAGAACATCATTTACTTGCTCATCTGAAAATCTGTCGCTCGTTCTCCCATCTTCACTGCTTTATCTTTGTCAGAGCTGGTGTCTGAATAAAATGTCCAAAAACATATTGATTATTATTAGGGAAGTGTTATTGTTTGTGAGACTGGAAAAGTTTATGAACCTGCATTGCATGATGGGTACATGGTCTACATGATGTATGTGAGTCACACTTACTCGGCCGAACTGAAGTTTAGTCTCCTTTCGCAACAGTTACGTTAGGCTGCGTCACATCCGGACAAACTATTGGTTTTCCCGGATGTGACGCAGGCTACCGTTACGTGGTCTCTGCGAACGAGTCCCAAAAYGGCTGCGAGAGTAGACTAAAAATGAAGTTATGATCAGTTCAATACGTCGAATAAATCTCTCTTTTGAAACACGGGCAACCGGTTTCTGAATAGCACTTTGCCGGATTGAAAGGTGAGAGAAAGTGAAACATATTTCAAGTAAGACGATTTGTCAGTAGAAAATAAAAAAAATGGAAAATGCATAGTTGCTGCTTTATAACCCTATACGTTGCATTGTTATTACATAACTACACATCTAACTGCACTTCTCAGGGACCGCGATACATATTTTTGATTGAGGGGTGTAAGACCACTTTCACAAGTGCCTACTATCGATTTTATATGATTGGCAATATTAAGGAAACATTAAGCACTGTCATATATTGAATAACTATCAGAAATAAGTGTGCAAAATTTGAAGACTAAATACTAACAAAGTTATGGAATGAAAATGCAAGGATTTGTATGAAATTCTTTACCGAGGCCTTGGTGGCCTCGTTTTGGTGTTTTTGTGCATCTTCCAACCCTTATAACTTCCAAAGGATGTAATACTTTGAAACTTTCAGAGCTTATCTTTAGCTTTGWTATCTATCATCTGAGTGTTTTCTTTTTCAACATTATGAGTTTAACAATAGTATGCTAATTAGTGTCGGCCATTGTGAAAGTMGTGTATAAKGGGGGTATGGTGGTCCTCCCCCRGAAAATTTTGAAACAAGAACTCTAAGACATGCGATTTTCAGCATTTTGAGGKGTATCGAGAGCATATAAAAGGCATCAAATTTATGTGAAATTTTAATCGTGAATATTTCTTTTTCCACCTCCTGCTACGAAGAAGGGGTTGGAAGAGTTGAATATTTCATTTGGTTTAAAAAACCTCGGTGATACCGGAATAAGGGGGGTATGGGGGTCCTCCCCCAGAAATGTTTGAAATAAGAACTCTCTAAGACATGCGATTTTCAGCATTTTGAGGGGCATCTCCTACTACGAAGAAGGGAGTGGAAGAGTTGAATATTTTATTTGGTTCTAAAAAAGGTCAGTACTACCCATGCTCGATATTTTTTCCGCCATATTGGTGATGCACGATATTTTTTTAGGTTGGAGAGCTTGCTCGATATTTTTTGGGGGATTTAACTCASCCCCCAACAATAATCAAATGGACCGTCCTTAACCCCAGCGGCAACTGATATTCAAGAAGCTTCACTGACTAAACTAACTGTAGCTAATTATTTATCTTTTAKCAGCAGAATGATTTGCGTTGTCATTAAAATATTTTTTCTGATTGTTTTACATTGGACGCGGGAATTGTTTTATGTGTTTTTACTATATGCAAATTCAAAGTCACCGACTGAATCTTCYCTAATACTCAATTGGAGGCAGACAGGAGTCTTGTGAGCTTTCATAGATCTCTAAGGATGACACTTCGTAACTAAACGTCCAGCTAACCAGCCGATAAGCCTGATCAGGTTAGAGCGAAATGATTTCTTAAAATACGATTGCTATTTTTTGGCTTTTCTTTACATAACTCCTGCAAACTCGGGCTCTCCTTSGTCTGTTCCACGGCATGTGTTGCACGTTTTGGGGCAGCGCTGCTTCAAAAACTTGCCATTTTCGTCATTACTGCTACATAGCGATGATAACATCTTACAAAACTCTCCAGTATCTTTGCAATCTGGAAAAGATCAAAAACAAGCAAACGATTAACTGATAGTTGTTTTCTGACACCAAGAAATCTTTCAAAATTTGTTTGGAATAAATAGAAATATGCGAATGGAAGTCTCGCCTTGCAGGAATTTCAGACCTTCTCAAAGTGGCCGTGCAGGCCTTCCGTTTTTGTTTAAACTCATCCATACCCTMCCCGCAAAAAAACTAATYGTCAGCCCCTAACGTGCTGGCCAATCGACCGACTTATTAAAACTGAATCGATAAATGATACCCAATCGCAGAGGGATATCGTATAGCCAGGCTACAAAGGCTAGTCTCCTTCGCACCCATTTTTGTGTCGGGCTTCCTGTCCCTTAAGAGGGAGGGAGGAAAAGGGAGTCCGACACAYAWAAAAGGTGCGATGGAGACTWTACTGCAAAGGCAAACTTACCACACAAACCACAGGACTTGGGGCATGCACGACTGAGATACTTGGTGTAACGGTTATTTTGTTGATCTTTRCATGCTTTATGTCCGAACCAGTAAATAATCTTTTGACACATTTTGACATCAAAGTCTTCGCAGTCTTTAAAAGAATGTCAATAAATTAACAAGAGTGGGATTCTGATAGGATTTGTACGAGTAGTAAAGAAAGCTATATGCTCCACCAATATCTTTTTATGGATTTCTAACCATTTCCCTCGACTATAACTATGATT